CGATGCCGGCGAAACGTCTGGGAATGTACCACGTCCACGGTCCGACTTTGGAAATAATTACGCATACAATCGACTCAGGACAAGGTACGTTTCCATAAGTCTTCCCACCATTATGACCAAGTTGCGAAAACAAGGTCAAACAACTTCTATACGACGAAAGGAGACTGCGACCACACAAAAGCCACACCATCTTGGTCTTCATACCTTCAATATGAAATACAATTAGCTAAACCATTCTATATCTATTTATACATACAATTCCCTTTTTTAATTATGAGTATATACAATAGGTAAGATAGAGCCAAACAACCTTGTTGACCTAGTGCTAGCGTGAGAGTTTTACAAGAATGTGTTTCAGCTCTGATGATGTACATCATATAATGAGCGAGAGCTGAGTCCGTTTTTACCCGAAACGAGGGAGGATGTTTCATGGACTGTGTTAACTTTAACGTTGTATCAAAAACAAAGGTCTGCAATATAACAGGAATCAACCGTGGTTATTAGGAACGAAGGCAATTCAGTTTGCGCATATCATTCGCAATGCAACGGTTTACATCTCCATCGTCAACTGCAGTCCGGTAGCAATGGTCTACGGATGTCAACTCCGCCTAGCTAATAATTTCATCGTAGCCTGAGCGCCCCATTTGCAGATTACATAAAAAAACTAATCGATATGATGGAAGAACTACGTGTAAGGCTCGTTGAGAGACGACCATTAATTTCCATCCCTATTAGCGATTAGCCTCGTTACAAAAAATCTCATCATTAAGACGTAAACACATAAGTTTTCTTAATAAATAAACTAATTTGATGGATCACTTCAAACCAGGACATCATCCAGGACCCAAAAGAGATTGACACACTTATCACTCGGAAATTTAATTAAGAAATAATTCTGAAGTCAGATGACTAAGGTGACGATACCGGCCTTGCCCTGACAAAATTATCTGCACCCTTACACTTGACATTTACTCACTAATACTACGTGACGCCTTTAAGTTCCGCTTCCACATTTGTTCTATAAAAGCTATATGTGATTCAGTCTCCTTTCTTCGATCGGGTTTGGTATCCATACATCATAGAACAACATATTTAGGGTTATAATACATAAATAGTCGGCCAGCCTACACAATTTAGTGCTAATTCGGGGTTTTTGCAAGTGATGATATCTGTCAAATGACGAACAGAAGTTCGGCCCATTTTCCCGCTAACCGAATTGGGATGCATCGTCGTGTGTAAACCCTGTGTAAAATAGGAATGCAGAACGAAGAGAATAAGCCTTCGTTTTCTAGTGAGGTCGACATACGAATCACTTTATCAGCTATTTTCACTTAGGAAAAATCACCACAACAATTGTGCAGAACTTGGATGGCTTGCGGAATAAACAGCTTTGTTAGAAAATATGGTTTTTAGTTTCCTTTTTCTAACTTGAGATAACATCAATCAAGCTTTCACGCTTAGTATGGTTTGCCTTGACTACATGAGCTTTCAGGCTTACCGTAGGGGTTTATCATGTGAACAGGTGAGAAGGTATATAAATGGAGTTTGAAGCCCAGAGACATAAGTTGAATTATCGACTCAAAATTCGTAAAACTTGAGCTTTAGCAGTCAAGGCTGTAGGCAAGTTAATCTGTCAACGAATTTCCTTAGTCAACCAGAAATTTCCATAGCCAAATCCGTACGAGAACATACCCGGTACTTAAACTCTTAATAGAAGCAAAGTAGCGGTAGAAGTGGCATAAGTGACAGTATCAGGAATAAATACAAGATTGTTAAGGTAAAATAATATTCTGATCCGCCTCACGATTCAGGACAATAATAGGAGACAAACCATCTTCATAAATGGGTAGGAAACTCTAAATCTAGTTTTTGCCTTAGTAAGTAGACCCAGGTCCGATATAAAAGACAAACCATTTTAGGTTATAACGAACTTTTTAAAAACAGCAGTAAAATTCCGACAAAAAAGTGGATCGACCATCAATAGCTAATGCAAATTCTTGCTTCCCTAGTCTTTGTTTCTTAGGTTAACTGATATCTTCAGAATGACTCGTTTGAAGGCCTAAGTTGGCTTTTACATTAAATTAATGTCGGGTTAACTAAATGAATATTAATATCATGTAGCTTTATCCGGAATCATGTTAAGAATAACAATCCTTAGGTAAAATAAAAGTAAGACATCATATCAGATACACTGGTCCGGTTTAGGCTGACTTCATGGTAAGATAACTTAAATATTATAATTAATTACCACTTGATATTCAATTAAGCCTTGCTCTAGAGTTGTATTGTAGGATTTGTAAGGATATCTGTGTACATAAAAGCTCCCATCAACTTCAAATCAAAATCTTTCAATGAATTTGTGGCTAAAAATGACTTACACGTAGTAACTCATCAATAGCTTGTACGCAGACTTCCGGCAACTGAGGTCGCCTGTCACGAACAAAGTGAGCTTCCTCATTAATAGTTGACTGAAAATTGTTCTTTACATGATGTTTGCTACCCAGTAACTCTCCGTCAGGACGAGGAACGGAGCGCATAACACGCATGAGGCAATGAATAGTGGATCCAGGGCGCTGATACAACTTTTCGCTACCACAGTGCTGTTTTATCGAATCACGACAGTGTAGCATGATATCTGGAGAAAGCTATACAAAAGATAAGGGACAGCAAAAGATGTTAAATTGTGTTTTGGCTAATTTATAGTAATTAAACTTGTGAGACTAGTTACTGAAATAACGACCGCCTAATGAAGCTAAGAACAAACGCCTTCAGATTAATTGATACAATGCTATATATTAGGATAATTTTGTCGTAAATGTTTCAAAAATATAAAAACATAAGTAATGAAGGGCTTTGATGCGGTGCGAAACATAACAAATGCATAATAAATTAAACAACTAGAAAAGATGTTTAGTTAATAAGTAGGTTTGCTACACAACCAGTAGATATTAGAGCTATATTCAATCTATTTCATTTAAATAAGTGACGGATTAGTAGCTGAATCTATCCATAATGATATGAATAAGCCTTAGGTTTATATCGAATTTAACAGCTCCTTGCCTCCATAAAGGTAGTATCATCTAAGGTGGATCACCATTTCAGCCTTATCTCATGAGTGCCAATAAGAGACGATATCGTCTGGGTATTATTAGAACCCCAAAGGGACTTAAACCCGAGCAATGCATTGCATAATCTGGAAATTTTATACTGACATGAGTGCTCCTGAGTCACAAGGCCAAATGTAGAAATTATGCGTTGCACTATCACAACTTGTGCTACATTCCCATCGAGGGTGCTATTAAAAACAGGCGAGATCGAAAATGCAGTCCACCATTAATGGGGATAGCTTTAGAAGAACAAATTTAAGCAAAATTCAACGGAAATGTGAGA